GGTGATTTACTTCAGAAGATCAGCCATTGAAAACCCTATGGAGCACAGTTTTGCTCTGACATACATGGGTTCGCTATGAGTTGGAACTGACTTGACTGCAACTTGGTTTTTTGGTTTATTAGACTAGAAGGGAAATTGCCCTTGTAAAGACTAGCCCAAGCAGCTCCTGCACTGGCATTTGACGTGCCATTTTCCCAGTCACTGTTTATTGGTTTTTTTTGGTCATTCTCCACTTCATTTAGGTATATAGCTGATGAAACAGGAAGAGTGATACATGACATAACTTCTAAGGAGTCTTACCAAAGACAGTTTGAAGCAATTCAGCATTGCTTCAGGATTATAGGTTTCACCGACAAGGTAAGTGATTGTTGAGAGAGAAATTTAAGTGTTAATTTTCTTGGATGAATGTGAGTGAAGACATGGATGTTCTAATTTGGGGCAGGACACTTGCTTCTCAAATGTCATTCTAGTCATACTTTAATGCCTTACTACCCATAGTGTGGTCCCAGGACCAGAGACATTTCCATTGCCTGAGAGCTCGTTAGAAATGCAGACTCTCAGGCACATCCAAGAATGATTGAATCAGAGTCTGCATTTTAACCAGATGCCCAATGGACATTAAACAGGAGAAGCACTGTTGTAAGGACCACATCCCTATGAAATGCTAATCATTGTCACCTGTCTTAGTCATCTAGTGCTGCTATAACAGAAATACCGCAAGTGGCTAGCTTTAACAAAGAGAAATTTATTTTCTCACAGTCTAGTAGGCTAGAAGTCCAAATTCAGGGCATCAGCTCCAGAAGAAGGCTTTCTCTCTCTGTTGGCTCTGGAGGAAGGCCCTTCTCATCCATCTTCCCCTGGTCTAGGAGCTTCTCCGCATAGGAACCCTTGGTCCAAAGGATGCGCTCTACTCCTGATGCTGCTTTCTTGGTAATATGAGGTCCCAGTGCCTCTCTGTTCACTTCTTTCTTTTGTATCTGAAAAGAGATCGGCTTAAGACACAGTCTGATCTTGCACATCTCATCAACATAACTGCTGGTAATCCATCTCATTAACATCATAGTGATAGGATTTACAACACATAGGAAAATCATATCAGATGACAAAATGGTGGACAATCACATAATACTGGGAATCATAGCCTAGCTAAATTGATACACATATTTTTGGGGGACATAATTCAATCCATGATATCACCA